GGGCTCCTGCCTTTCCTTAGACCATACCTGTCTTTCAAACCGAGACAGGGTATTATATCAAAGGCTTGTTATTCTTCCTTTACGTGCAGCCAACTCTGTAGTGGTTTTTCAGAGCACCATGGGGAATACCCAGCATCCACTGACAGCTTGAAATATCTCTAGAAAATCTGGCTCTCCAAAAAAAAAAAAAAAAAAAAAAAAAAAAACATCAGAACAAACCATACCCAAAAAAACCATTCTATTAGGAAATGTAATGAGCAAAAGAAGGGTAGATAAAGCTATGATCACAACACAAAGGGAGTTATTTGGGGTGGAACTGTCTCATCTTCTGTGCACATACTGCCAGGAGACAGCTGGAATACTGCCACTACAAGATTAAGTGTAATTGGCCCCGGACAACAGTATTTTTTTAGGTAGAATCCAGTATAATTCCTCCTAATTCTGCAATGGCCCACAGAACTAGTTTAATAATGCAGGCTCTCCTGTTAATTTTATGTCTCCTGACAAGAGAGACATATGTCTCCTGATGAGAGCAACCCTTGCCAGAGCACAGCTCACTGTCACTGGTCTCTCTTTCCTGAGCTTTCAACCCGAGTAATCTCAGGGGCCCTTCTGCAAATTATTTCTTGCAGAAAATCACAAACACTCCTGAGGACAAGGTATTAAAAAAGTAATATGCTAAACACTCTTGAGTATGGGACTCCAACCAGGCAATAAAACTGAAAAGAAAAAGCCCTACTCGGTATTTAACATTCAAAGAGAAGGTTAATTCCAGTGTAACTCCACAAATTAAAGCATAGGACAATATGACAGCAAGTTAATTCAAAAGTATCTTACATACCAAATTGCAAAAAAAATTCCTGTGATTATGATTTAAAATGTGCTTCTCTTGAAGGCTAAAATAACTGATAACTCTAGTTCAGTTGTCATTCTTCTACCTTTTTTCCTAGTTTTAGACAAGTTCTCCATTGGAGGACAACACAAAAATTACATGGAAATTTTTCTGTGTTCAGAGTTTATATCTGCTACAACCAACATTAGTAGAAGAGAGATCAGCCAACTATAACACATCAAGGTGCTGCTAAAACTGTCACACACCTAAGAAAGATTCTCCTCAAGACCAAAGTGTTTAAGGGGATCTTTATGAAAACACCAGATAAATGAAAATCACAAGAAGAAACACAGCCTGTGTAAGGTGACTTTAGAAGGACTCTGAAATCATCAGAGGTTTGTATAGTTTATACTACAGTTTATACTACAAAACTGAGCAAACTCAGAAGGAATTTGTGACAAGTCTTCCAGTGTTATTGCAGTACATTGCCAATTTTATGGGTGAAAGCATGAAGATGGCTATTATCTCTCTGTTACATGCAAAACATCTGAGGCTCAGCATTTGACAAAGCTTTAGATGCTTCACTACATGTCACAGCTGTAGATTTAATTATCATGTCACAAAACATGGTAAACTGAATGTGCTGCTTACAGTGAGCTGGTGATTAAGAGTGGGAGAATTTGGCACAAGTAAAAGGAAGAAATAATTTGGATGGAAAAGTGAGTGATTGTAGAGCTCCCACACAAAACCATCCCAGATGTTCTGGGTAATTTCAGATCTTTTTGATACAGAAACCCATCCATAATCAGCCAAGGGGAGGAGGCTCATTCCCTACAGCACTAGGGGGCAGCTATGGCTGTCTTGGCTGCATGACACTGAAGAGGTGGAGACAAAGCTATGCAAGTTTGGTTTGTTTGGGCTAATTTATTTTATTTTTGAGTTGTAGCACACACACTCCCCCAGATGTCTAATAGGGTACAGGTTAAACAGATTATAGGATGATACTGAGTGTCTTTTACAAAGACCACAGACTGCTCCTAGAAGGAGCTGGAAATGTGGGAATAAACAAGGAGGCTCCTGGATGATACTAGTCCATCTGAACCGTTGCAGTTCAATCACAGCTATAATAACGACTATATATGAGTGACCTGAGAGACACTCCAAATCCAAAACAATAATTAAATTGGTAACACACCAAAACAGATAATACAGTGTCAGTAGCTCAGATGGCGTGTTTCAACCTGGGGAATATTTACAGGTTCGGGCTCTTCCATTTTGACTGCAATGGCCTATGAAAAGCATCTATAAGCTGACTAGAGATAAACACAGTATGCTGAGACTATACAATAAAATCAATACCAAAATATTGCAGAGTGAACATCAAAGAGCCTTGAAATAGGGTGAAAGTTGGATAATTTGTGCAACTGCATTGTGTTCCCAAGTCACTGGTTTCAGCACAAGCATGTACACACCATTCTGCCCCAGAACCCAGATTTATATGAAAACTCTTACCTTATTTACACCATCTGCCATTGCTTGCAGCGTTAACTCTCTAGGTCCATCCACAGTCTTCCCATTATCAGTTGGTCCCCAGCTGGCACTATATATATCTATGACTTGAGGCATGTGACTGATGGAGGAAGCCTCAATAATGTCTGTCATAAACGGCTGGTCGAGCATTCGAATACCTGTAGTTTTAATCAACATAACCATGAAATACGCATTACCCAGCACAAAATGTAATCTCAGCACCTGCAGAAGGCCCCCAGTTACAGGTATTTTAAGTAAATGGCAGTTTCACCCATTCAGTAATTCTGCCTTTGACATTCCCATTTCACCAGGGTGTGCTTTACCCAGCAAGATGCCAGTATTAAACACCTAGCCACCAAGGCAGCATGGCCCAAAAAGACAAAGAACTTTATTGCTAGCTTTCTAATTACATCGTGTTTTCCATCTACTCTTTGAGAACACTTTAAAAATACCAGAATTTAGCAATCTCAGAAATTCAGAGTTTACATAATATCAATGTCATTTAAAATAATGCTTTGTAAGCTAGCAAAAAAGAGTAAGGCTCCTCCCTCATCTAACTTACATTCAGTTTTGTGTTCACATGTCATTAGTTTTTCTAGTAATTTTTCTATTGATTTTGGTGCATCTCCAGAATATAATCAGAGGAGGGAAACATGCTGCACAGCAATTTCCTGGAAAAATATCATTCTGTCAACATGCAGACACAATAGCAAAATATAGCATGTGGAGGAAAAAAGCAAACTAAAACCCACTTCCTTTAACCCATTCTGCAGTAGAAGTTAAGAGCTTAAATGATGCAATTGTAGGACACATCAACTTCATAAAACCTCAGTGTTGACTCTAAGCAAGTCAGAGTGAAACAGACAGCAGTGCAAACCCTTACATCCCTTGTGCCCCACACACAGGACAATCTCCCTGACATCCAACTTGGCCTCAGATGAGACCTGAGTAACCAGGGATTCACTCCAAGCTTAATTTGTATCCCTGAGTTGAAGTCCAGCTTTTTCCCAATGGTTTAGGATACAGCTGGGGCAGAAATCAGTAGCACAGTGCCTAACAGTGTGAGTGGCAATAAGGCTCCTGATTTAGAAGCCAGTGGCTTTTCTATATTCAATAGAAAACCAGTGTGCAAGATATAAAGCTGGAAAAAAGGTGGTATAAATTTCAAATGATAATCAGACCAAAGCTGGATGTTCTTGATAGGCTAACTCGAGCTAGAAATGATGAAGTCAAACTCAACGGCTGAGAAATTGCTTCCCATACTTATAAAATGCAGATCTGCACAGAAACCACTGTCCTGGTTTAAAAGACAGGTTTCTGTCAAGGAAGGCAGGAACCCTTCCTGGAATAGAAAGATGACTCCCTCCCTCCAAATCATTTTAGCTTTGAGATTATGGGGCCTCCAGGAAAAAATTATGGGAGAAGGAATAACAGTTCTTACTAGAATATGTATGTGTAACAAGACAGATGAATAACAGCAAAATAATACCAGAACTTCCCACCCAGTCAAACCAGCAGCATGGACCCTCTCTCCGGAGAGAGGGAGGAGGTGGGGGGCCCGGAGGGTCTCTCCTGTCGAGAGCAGGTGCTGGAAACTCCCAGTCAGCTGGCCGTTGCTGCAAGCAGTGGGCTCACCAACGGGCAGCAAGGAGAATTCTGCAGCAGCACCAAGCCCTCTGAGAAGTAACTCAAAAACTCAACCATCTCCCCTCCAAGGTGGGCAAACACTGCCGAAACCGCCCCTCCACACCCCTCCCCGTCTCCCCCCACCCCCAGCCATTTAAATGACATGTCAAGGCACTTGGCTACTGCTTTTGTCTATTGATCACTGTCCATTCACCATCTCCCTGGCAACAAATTGGAGGAAATTCCCTAAGAAATCCAAAACCAGGACAACCACAAAATTAATTATTGACCCTGAGGAAAGAGGGGGAACAGGGGGAGCCAAACCATCTTCGAGGGAAAAAAGAGGTACATGAAAAATAAAAAAGTGATGCACTAGATCCTTGGCAATCAACTTCCCGTTCATTCTGTAAACATGGGCTCTGAACCATGACAGCAGCAGACCCTCAACTTTCATGGACTTCCAGTGCCATGGACCACACAATGGTGTTGCCAATGCACATTGTCCTCGGGCAGGGAAGGCTGGCTGGCACTTCCAAAACACTTGAGGGGATTTTGCTACAAGGTGGACAAACACAGAAGATTATTTGTAGGCTGTTGTTCATCAGAAAAATTCTTCACACCTCTTGATTTTTAAGCAACCAGCTTGATTTGTAAAATTATATGAATAATATGGACATATGGTCCAGACAAAATCCCATGCCTCAATTCAGATTCCTTGAAGAGTAACTCTTGAAAGAATGTAAATTTTGTGGAATGTCCTATCCCTGAACGAGAAATTACCCTTACTGAAGAAAGGACACATCCCATTAGACCTGCCCAGCCAGTTACTCTCAGTGATATTTCTTGGGTAACAGCTTAGCAAACATCGTTTGGTGCCCTTCTCTGCTGGAGATTCAGCTTTCAGTCATGTGGGTGACATGTGAAATGTAGCCTTCCTCAGATTCTCCTGACACTACAGTGAAACAGGGACTGGCCAAGCAGAGCAGACACTGTGGACCATCTTCAAGAAGCAATGGGTACATCTGTGCTGATGTTCTGGTGTGGATCGGGGAAATTAAACTGAAATTCATAAGCATCTATCTCTGCCTGCTGTGCCTCAGTTCTAATCATGTAACAGTCTTAAGAGTGGGAAAACTGGATTTCTTCAGATTCAACTAAACTGACACAGGGCGTCAAGAGCCTAATTCACTCCATGCACTATATTCAGCATATATGTGCAGAGAAGAGCTCATTAGAAATAAAAATACCCAACACACCCATAGTGTGGATGCTGGGTACTAGGTACCACCTGTTTCATTCTCTGCATCTGCTCCTATCACCCTGCATCCCTGTTAAAACAGAGGAAACCTACAACCACGGAGATTTACAGCACTGCAGGTCCTGCCTTGTGAGAGCCTAAAGAGTAAAAGCAGCATGAGATTTGCCTTTTCAAATGGTTTTTAAGTGCAGCAAGAATTTATACTTTACCTCCTGCAAAATAAGATTTGCCACAAAAGATTCTACAGCTATGCAGAGAAGAAGCACTGAAAATCAGAATATGAACAGGTGATGGTATATGAGGGAGCAGAGCTGCTCTTTTGCACTGTTAATAAAGGGCCTATACAAGGCCCTTGATTGAAAAGGCAAAGCCATGGAAAAATTCCTCTCTCCAGCTACTGTGAAAAGTAATAAATACATGGTCCAGTACCAATCTGCAGCCCTGTCCTGGGCAACACTCTCTGTCTCTGCAGGACGAGTTCTGCCTGAAGCACAGTGGCCCATTTGCACCTTGGATTGCTACCATACCTGCCACTTTGGAGTTGTAGGCAACTCCCACGCCGCAGATGTTGTTGTTGGCAGCAGCAGACACCTCTCCTGCACACCTTGTCCCGTGGCTGTGAAAAGGAAGGCAGAGAGACCAGATGAACCCCAGCTAGTGCACATGCTGAGCTGAGCTGGATCACTGTGAGCTTGTTTTGCCTCAGTCAGCTCCCAGTCCTGCAGAAGAAAACCATTCTATGGCAAACTGTTGAGTGCTGAATACTGGGATGTGTTCATTCTTTCCTGAAGCAGGTGATATCCAGTTCCCCCTCTGAAGGATGAATGAAGCTTGCTCTGAGGTTAACGTGTATCCTTATACTGCATTTAATTGTTAAGTTGTTCAGGCCTTTTCGTTTTAGCTTGTGAGACAGGTTCTGCCTTGTTACCAACTCTTAGCAGAAACAGCTTCTGACAGAACTGTGTAAATATAAGATCAATATTAATTCCTTTATTTCTGTAGCTTAACAGTGTGACTCCCATTACTTTGAACCTTATGGAACAAAGTCTGGCTGCCTTCTTGCTGTTTGCACATGTACAAAGAGCATATCCCTGCCCACAAAAGAAATGCTACAGGAAGAGGTGGGTGCAATACCAAGCTGGAGTAGCAGAAGGGAGCCACAATGGTCACTGCACTCCTCAGCAGGAGAGCTGCAGCATGGCTGGCCAGGCTCAATGCTGTGGGACCTAAGACATGTACATCCCTCTCATTCAGTGCCTAATTCCCAAAAGAGCTAACAAGGTGCTCCAGCTGACAGAGCTACTGCTTTCTGCTCAAGTGGGAAAAGCCTCTGCTCTCATACAGAGGTCCAGGTTTGGGCTGACACATGGTATTTCAATAATACCTGGCACCTATGAAGTGCTTTCCAGCTCTTAACAGAGACTCTTTAACAGGCAGTGACTCCTGCAGGAGGGGAGATTGCATTTTCCTTTCTCCTAATTCATCAAAGAAATTAAACTTACAAGAAGAGAAATTCAGACAACATAACCTAGATATTGCTGTCAGGGTTTTTTTTAGTCTAAGATGTTGAATCAATATATGAATCCATCCTACTGCACACATCAATCCACTCTGCACATTGAAACCGGTGTTGATCCTACAGCATGCTAAGGATTCATGCAATTCAAAATGCTGTATTATAAAGGTTATACTGAGTATCAGATGGACCACCCTGGGAGGCAGCAAAACTGTTTTAATCACTTTTTTCTCCCTCTTTCCCTTTAAGGGTATCTGGCAAAAATAAGTGTAGCATTAATAACAAGGTAAGAAGCAACATATACTTTCTCCTGCTTTACTTGGGAGAATATATTTTTAGAGGCAGTTCCATAAAGAAAGATGACTGAAGATCTCATCTCTTCCTTTTACAGAGGGGACAGAGAAGTAAGCAATATAGATTTCTTATTCAGAAGCTACAGAAATTGCTATCAACGAAGAAACAAGATTTTCCTTTATGTTCTTGCTCAAGGAAGTGTGACAGAAACACAACCTTCATCGGCCTGTGCTATCAATGATAGGCATTCATTATCTAGTCACCTATGGGCCAACTACAAGCCACAGAGAAGAATAAATGGCTTTGTTCAAAATTGGCTTGACTAATGCTGGGTTGTAAAACATCTGTGACGCTGCCAGATTACAGTGACAAAAACTGTATTATGTCCTTCCTGACAAAAAAGTTTTACCAGAAGGTCCTTTCCCTGTCCTGGCCTCTCCAGAGCAGTGGCCCACACAATGAAGACTGTAAGGAGGCCTCTTCCAGCAGCTCTGTTTCAATATTGTGCTGCTGACTAGAGAGAAAAAAAAAATCCCTTATGAGTTAGTGGAAATACATTTGGTTGAATTATTAATGGCAAATAGCAAACTTTTCCAACTCAGCCCTATTTGCTATTCATGTATCATTGATAAACCCTTTGTGGTCTCTATGAAATGACTCATGTCACAGGAACAAATCACAGCCTTTCTCTACAGTGTTCACCTCTTCCCTATTTCAATATTTTAAGCAAGGTGATAGAACACAAAAATATTTTCATCTATTAACAACCTACTTCAAAGGTACACCATATATTAGCAAGTAGAGCAAGTATTACATAAACTTTATGCAAGTGAGAACATTTTACATGAACAAGCATGAAAAAGTAAGGTGGGAGAAGTGGATTTAGCTGAAAAACAGTGGTGCATATTGTATTTAAAAATACCTATACTAGCTATGAAAATTTCACTCTGCTTTGTCTTTGAAAACAATTCTGTTTTAACATCCACTGCCAGTGGTAGTGTGTGTCCCTCCCTATTGACATATTTTTCAAAGTGTCAGAGGTGACACAGATTTTTACTGGGGCTCCTTTTCATCTGCTTTGAAATGCTTCAGCAGACAGCAAAGGACAGGACCCAACCATCCTATCTTCAGCTGTCTGCAGGGGAGGACTATGCAGAGCTGCAGTCTCAATAGCTGGGACCACCTGCCTTTCTCAACCACTTTAGCTGCTTGCATTGGGCAGCAATTAAACATGCAGTACTCAGATGGACACTTTTGTGGGGCAAATGCAATCCCCTTTTCACTCACACGACATCATCAGCTTCTAAGCATTTGAGTGCTCACAGAAGGGAAAACATTCTCCTACTTTGGTTTGGATACATAGCTGGTAAAAGATTCTTATGTCTGAAGAATATAGGTTTCCAGGATAGCAAATAAGTTTTGCCCTGTTAACTCATTAGCTGAGTGAGAGAATATATAGAATACAAAGGCCATGGGAGTGGAGATAATTAGTGGTCATTTAGATCAGGGCAGAAATTTGTAATCTCACTGCTCTGAGGTAGAGAGCCCAAGTTGTGACCTCTGCATGCTCACAACATGAAATCAGAGGGTAGTATGGGACCAAGCAATCACTGATCCCTATGGTTACCTCCTCACTGCAGAACAGTACATGACAAGGTACTGAATGGGGTTCAGAAGGAGAGGGTGCTCAAAATCAGTCAGTTCCCAAAGTGGTTTTTAAGAACTGAACCACTGAGTTCTTTGGGGCTGCCCTTTGTTTTGGGGAACAGGGTTGGATTCAAGCTCCTTCACTGCTCCCACTGCTCTTCAGGCTCAAACACAGCTCAGTTCAATGTTGCACCAAGTGTACACTTTCCTGCTGGGTCCCCAAGCTGTGGATCTGAACACAGTCAAACAGTGAGTACAGTAAACATAAGAATAAACTCCTTGGCTTCCAAGCCATCTAAAGGCCTCTGCCTATAGCAGCAGCTGAACTACTGAAAGCAATTTCCTGCCTGAGGCACCACCCTTCCCTTCCAAAACCCATCCTGCATGGTTTCGTAGGCCAGTGACCATTAGATGAAAAGGCCAAAGTGATTCCAGAAATCTTACAAAGCACCAAATGGAAGGGGAATCTGTGCTTACAAGCAGAGCAGCTGTGATTAATGAAATACTCCATGCAAAAACCTCTCCTATTTATTCTTAAAGTCTAATGAACACATTGCATATGCAGCTGGCAGCTCACAAAAGCCCCTTGGTGATCACTCTTCTGCTTCTTGTTCCACAAATCACTTGAATTGCTCACATAGAAATGTATTCTTTACGGAAAAAGCGATATTACGCTATCCTATTTCAAGTCTGATCCTTCTGCATGCATAAAATTCGATGGGAGATACATCACTGGCTGTGCAAAATGGAGCCTTTATTTCAGGGTTCTCTCAATAGATTTTCCATGTAATCATGCCCTATCCAGATGCACCTGTGTAGCTACACGTAGGGATAGACACGCTGTCAAAAGCAGAAAATTGTTACCTACCAATAACACTAACTGAGGAACCAAAAGCCATGGCAAGAGCTTATATAGGAGTATGTCAGCTCAATTAACAGAATAGCAAAGAAATACACAGAGAAAAACAGTCACGGCTACTCCTGGACAGAGAGGACATGGTGTGCTGGTTTGCATCTTAACCTGCAGAAAACTAAGAATCTTGCATCTTAAAGCCTTCCTATATTGTGAAGGCAGGAAAGGGATGTTTCTCTGAATGTGCTGCTCCTGTGATTTACCTTGCAAGACAGAAAATTTCCTGTCTTGCAAAAGAAGTCTCAAGGATCATAGTAACATAGAGTGGTTTGGGTTGGAAGGAACCTTAAAGATCATCTAGCTCCAATCTTCCTGCCATGGGAAAGTATGCCACCCATGAAATCAGGCTGCTCAGGGCCCCATCCAGCCTGGGCCTGAACACTTCCAGTGTTGGATGTCCCATTATGACTAAGGTTCACTGACAAACAACTTTATACTCCCTAAGTATTAATTTTAATTTTTTTCTGAGAAGAAAGACCAGTAAAGTAAATCTGCAAAGCAACTTCTCCATCATTTTCCTCCTCCTGCTGCTGACCTGAACTCCTCATTCCCCCAAGATGTAGAAGAAAGTATTGCCGTTCTCTGACAACCAGAATCATGTTGTTCTCAATTATTACATATTGGGTCATAGACAATAGTGCTTGAAGTTAGCCAGGGGCACCTGGGACCAGAGACAATAACCCCTGCCACATCTGGAATACCTGAGGTCTATTCAAAGAGACTTTGGGATGTAACTCTCCCTCCAGGGAAAGTTTACTTTGCAGAACAGGTAAGGATGGCAAACTAGGCCCCACTATAAAATACGTGATAGTAGCAGAATCCATGTTAATGAGACTTGGCAGAACATACTTAATTTTAAGAAGTTCCACACTGAAAACAACAAAAGCTACCATTACACACTAAAGCTAAATTTAATTTTCTTCCTCTCCAGAGCTACATGGCATCTGTCTCCTAAAAAGATCCTTTGTGTAAATAAAGCAAGAAAGTCAGCAGACCTTCACAAATTAGAGCCCTAGTCTTTCTCTGACTTTCCATTCACTAACTGGATTCATACTACTTTAAAAGTGTCACATGTCCTTTCTCAAAGTAAAGCTGAAATCTCATTGAGATCTTGCTTTAGCTGAAAAATTGTAGGACTACAAAGAAGGATATCACAGCTCCTACCTCTGTTTAATCCACTCCAGGAGGCCCATGTCTGAGGTTGAAGCACAGCTGTTTCTTTGTTGTGTCACTCTGACAGAACTACAACTGATTTCTTTACACATGAAAACAAAAAACCCCATCCAAAACTGAGAGACCATCCAGTCATCCTAAGTTAGAGATGAAAATCACATCAAATGGTCCTGAAATATTTTTTGATAAGCACTCAGTCTGAGCCCTGAAATCTTTCAAAAGTTTTCAAATCCTCAGCACTACTGACAACTTCTGTCCAAGGGACATTTGGAAATTTCACTGAAAATAACAAAAATAATTTTTGATAATCCAAGCTAGAGGCTGCCATGGGACAGATACAGAACCCAGGACACATTTTGTAAAAAACTGTCAAAACATGTTTCCATTCTATGTAAAAAAAAGCCAGTCAGTTTAGGGAAAGTAAAAGTCACACTTTATAAAATCTTGAGCCTTTTCTTTTGGGCCATCCTTATTTATACCATACCTTGAGAATCAGACCTTCTCCTGCTGAAAACTGGTAAGTTCAGAGCTAAGTTCAGAAGACACTGAAGAAGGAATGAAGTCTTGGGCAATCGCTGTATCTTCAGGAGAAGTAGCACAACAAGCACAGCTGCACTGCTGATTCCAAATTTATAAACACAACAGAATGGATTCCACTGTATATGAGTTTTAACTTCTCCAGCAGCTAGAAAAATGCTATCCATGTACACTGTCCTTAAATCAAGGTGATTCAGAATTTAATGTAAGATCTAATTAAAAATTAATGTTTTTAAACTGGCCATTCTACACTATGCTGCTGTTCTGACTTCTTTGGCTACAATATGATGAAAAGACTTTTTTCCCCAGTCTTTCCTCTCTCCAGCTTACTCCCTTTAAATTTAGCCAGCAGATGGGAAGCTGGATTACTGGACTGTCCTAGGACAGCTGACAAAAAATATGTAGCCATCACTTATCCAAACAATCTAAAAATATACTTTTCTGGAGCAGCACCTTCATTTACAAACTATAAACCTTAAAAAATGATGCTGTAAGTAACCTCAAATTTTCAGGCAGTAGTGAAACAGCAGTGTCTATTCTGTGATGATTGAATTTAGCAGAAAACAGACATTTCACAAAGATGCAGAATTTCTTACACAAACCAAAGTGAAGGGCAGGCTGCTCAAAATCCATTTACCTGTTAAACCAGTCATCTGTATAGCGGGGATAGGGGTAGGGATCATTGCTGCTGAAGTCGTAGCTGGCTTTGGCATTCTGCAAAACACAAGGAACACAGAAAATCAGCTGAAGAACAGACATGCAGGGCAAAGTAAACACAAATTGAATGAGAAGCTGAGAATCAATAGCAAACTTTGCTCTCTTCATTCTGTGAGATGTATCTGGACAGAAACCAGTCCCTATTGTGCTGTGCCATTCCCCGTTTTCCACACCAGCAACTGGGAACAATGCTCTCTGGCATGTAAAGCCTCCTGTAGACTACTGTGGTTAATTGTGAGGTGGTGTGAGAGCTAAGATAACTACTGAGGGACTGTTCATCAACACTTACAAGAGTATTCAGGCACTAAACTACTTGGTGTGGCAAAGCAAAGGTTAAATCCTGTATTCCAAACAGTGGTGGAAGTGATAAGACACATGGGTCTACCACAAAAGAAGTATTTTTGAAAACCCCATTTGTGATAATACAAAAGTCAGATTTCTAAAAGCATTTCACTGCCTAAGAATATAAATTTCTCAAAATTCAACTGTGAAAACTGCATTAATGGCCAGCATATATGCCTGAAAATCTCTTTGCATATTTTCTCATTCCTTTAGTTGTCTGAGTAGCTTCACAAATGTGGCTTTCAGGCACTTTTCAAAATGCCATCCCATGTCTCTGCTTTCCATATAAATCTAATTCATTCCCGATTTGTTCTATCAGCAGTTAAGGACACTCAGCAACTTTTTGATCCAAAGCAAATAAAAAGTTTCAGAAAGTCAAGTGCCATCTTCTTTTTTCTCTCTTAATGAAAAAAATGAAGGGTGACTGAACATTAGGCTTTTAAAAATATTTAGCAGTCTTCCCTCAAATGCATGTTGAGTTTATGTTTTAATAATCATCATAATCAAGGAACAGAATTATGTTAATTCTTAATTAATGTGTACTTGTATTCCTTTTAAGATCTGGCTGAGCATGCTATTGAAGATAATTTGAGACTTGTGTATGAATAGCTTTGCTCCTAAAAACATTCCCTTTCATCTGATTCTCACTTCCTGGGATACAGGAATAGATGGTCCATTGGTAGCACCCAAGTCCTTGGGTTTTGGATTCAAACCCTTAAACTCCCAAAAACTTGTTCCAGAATGAAAGGATGACAACATTATCCTTCATACTTGAAGGGCAAAACTAAGTATCTTTCAAGTTATTGTACCATGGGTTTTTTTTGGCTGGTCATTTCAAAGCTTGGCTGCTTATATTCAGCACAGAGAGTAAGTATTTTGCAGCATTTGAATGGAGCTGAGATTTTCAGAATGGCTCCCAAATGGCTTGATGCTGTCCTCCAGCTCAGAGATTAATCCCTTTTTGAGATCCTTATGGATTTCTCCATATCTCCACACTAAGGCCCTGATTTTCAGCCTGAAGTGAAGATGCCTTCCAATCATGTCAGCTATAGTCACAAATTCTCAATGCTTTTAAGCCTTTGTGCCCAAATATCTGATTAATTTGCTTATTTTAATTACCACAACTGCTTATATTTATGGCACTTTGAATGACATAAGTTTGCATGAGCTAAGAGTAAACAGAACATCACTTTTCAGCCAGGGAGAAAAGGGCAATTCGACAGTTGTCTCTAATTCATGAGTAATACAGAGAAGGTGGACAAGGAGTTGTTTTTTACTACGTCTCATAATTCAAGAAATTGAAATAACTTTGGGAGAGACTTAAAAGCAGCAGAAAACAAGTACTTTTCCACAGAACATGTAGAGTTACAAAATTCGCTGTCATGTAGATAGCACACAGACATACTGCCAACTTCATATTCGCTCAGAACTTTTGCTTCTACTCTAAAAATATTGTACAAACGAGAATTTAAACTCAGTCATGTGTCAACTGTGTTTTCTTTTCCCATCTGGAAGAAATGCGATCCCACTTTGTCTCGGTTTGAATTATAATTTGGAAATTAATTTGATGATTCCCCGGCGCCTGCAGAGGGCGCTGTGGGGCAGGCTCGGCCGTGTTCCCCCTCACGGGAATGGCGGCTGGGTCCAGACGGGAAAGGGATGGAAAAAGAGAGGCTTTCCTTCACAAACCCCCGCGGCAGTCGATGCCGGTGTCTCAACAGGACTTTGAGGAGCACCAAGCTGGAATGGCAGGAATGAGCAGAAATCCCGGGGCGGTGGATGAGATTGATTAGAAGCTCCGTGGCGGTAGTTGGAACCGCGGGACGTCCCGGCAGGGCAGGGGCCCATCAGCAGAACAAAGGCAGCTCCCGGCTGGGTTACTGCGGTGGTAGCACTTGCTATCAACCACTCTTGACCCCACAACTCCCTTGTGAAAAAATCCAGGCTGAAAAGCCCTTCTAGCGTGTTCATAGCAGTGACAGACAAAGGGATTCCAGCCGGAATGACTGAGACACCCTACGGCAAACTGCAGCCGTGCTGTAGGCACCAGGTAAGCGTGGCTTATGGAAAAGGCGCCCTTGGGCAGGCTATGAGCCAAGCTGTGCAGCCACGTCCCATAGCTCTCGTGTGCTTCATTTTGCATCACCGCACTCAAAGGAAAGAGGTAACTGATGCAGTGGGATCCGTCCACAAAGGGCAAAATTAAGAAGTCTTGGAAAGAAAACAACTGCTAACTGAGCAATTTATCTTCATTAGGGTCTTCGAGAAAAGACAGTGAGTTTCAGCATTGTGAAGGAGTATTTCACCCACGCTATGGAAGCAGTGAAATGGATAATGAAACAGCAGAGACTGCTTCAAGTTCCTAATTCAAAGATCAAATCCACAAATACCTAAGCCTCAACTTTTGTCAATTTTTCTTAAGTTTAAGTAAGAAATTAAATCAATTTCAAAATTGCACCACAAAGGAAACTGCTTCAGTGGACCGCTTAAATATTTCATTCTGTGTTTTGCAAAGTGAATATTAAAATCTGTGGTTTGCCATTGTCCTCCATAGGCTGGAGTCCCCAGCAGGCAAGAAATTCCCAGTGTGATAAATGTGATTCGTGCTAATTAAGTTGTAACTATATTAACAAAATTGTATTTAGATCAATAGAAGACAATTGTTACAGAGTGAGGGGGGAGATGGGTGAGACAGGGCAAAGGACATCTTCCAGATGTTGGGAGTCGTAGAAGAAGGAGGTTGGAAGAAAGTCAAACAAGAATAGTAGAAAGACGTAGGTCTGACAAGCAGCATCTAGAAATAGAAAGCTTTGACTTTGAAATGGGCCAAAATAGGATGATTCCAAGCATGAGACTCAATTAAAGTCTTGTTATGGAAAACATCTGCTCAGTCACACAGTGCGCCTGCGCTACCTGCAGGTCACACCTCGGTCACTGAGGAAGACGATGAGCCTTCATCGGAAGTAAGACCCTCAAAAGGATGAGAGACCCCCTAACCCATTAGTAGAGCATGGGTCATACAACACGGTGACGTAGATTTTAGGAATAGAAACTAGGAGGAGTTTTCTAGAAACTTCTGTAGCCTACAGTATATAAGTGGGATTGTTAGCCTGGATGCTTTGATACGTGCGGAATGGGAGCCACTCCCCGTATCCCCCGTCGGAGGGGGGCCCCTCCCCGGTCGGTTTTGCTTATGCTTTATACGAACCTCAATTATACTAAATTACTTACTGCCAAATTTTGTATATTCTTAAATATATGCACTTTGATTGTTTCATCTCCAATACTTTAATTGTCATCTCCAATACTTTGATTGTATTCATTTTGTTACTATTAAAAACTTACTATTAAATTTAATTTTGTTGCTTGATAAATTGGAAAAAATAGAACATCATTCATAACACCAGCAAGAGGGAATTTATTGCTAATATGGTGAATTAATCAGTGTAGGAATCTGTGAGGTTGCAATCAAAACCAGTGCAGATGAGGATCCACAACAGCATACTGAAATAGGAACATTTTGCTTTTCCCCTTTTCCACAGGTGATGCAGTGCTCAGTTTTCTTGCCAAACTAGTCTACTGGCAGTTCCTTCTCTTAGACTTGAAGTGTTTAACACTTGATTTTCAATATCTAAGGTAGTTGCCTGGTTTTTAATCTCAGGGAGAACTTGAACCACCAACCTCCAACACTGCTCTGGCCTTAGACCAGTCATTGGCACTGGGTGTTACAATGAGATGAATCTAATCCCTCGCTTTCAATCAAAACCAGCTCATTGCTGCAGAGTGATTTGGTGTTTATCAGTCACTATCTATACACAATTACTTTAAAGTAACATCTACTATATAATAAAAATGCTACTACCGAGAGGAATGGTATTGTTTTTTAAGGAATATCTCCATTTTTGCTTTCTAGCCTCTACGCCAAATAAAATACTAACAAGAGTATCAGATCCCAGGATGAGACCCTTCGAATCATTTATTAAGTATCAGCTTGTATACCATGACACAGATAGATTACTTTTGTCTCTGTATAAAATGATGCTTTCCTTAAAAATAAGCTTAGACTAGAATTTCCCAAAGAATTGCCTTGTACCTTTTAAAACATATGCAGTAAAATCATCTGTGGAAAAAATTCATTATGCTAAATATTACACTAACAATAAATCAGTTGTCCCATGTGTTGTTCAGCACTGTAATAAAATTATGTACCTTGAATAATGAAGTAAGCCAATAAATTTTTGTATGACTTCACAAGCTACTGCAGTGTAATTCACATATACTTCTGTTTTCCTCTGTAAGTCAAGAAATATGCCTATGCTCACATGCTAGTCCAGGAGACAATAAAAGACACATCCCACTGGTCACAGGCTGATTCTATTCATGACATTAAAGTCCTGGACTAGATCTGAGGCAGAAAGATACCTTTTGTTTGTTTGATTTCTTTACTGATCCAAAGAGTAAGCAAAGCTATGAACTCAAATTACTACATATAACATGACCTGTACTAAAATAACATTGAACATCATATGGTGGCAAAATGAAATTCAGTTTTGTACACACAGGCTTAAATAAATCAAATATGCTCACCAGAAGGCAAAAAAGGAGGCAACATGTTTAACCTAGGAGAGGTGCTGCAAGGCTTAAAGGTCATTAAC